AACTCTATATTTTAACTGGAAAAGTTGGGGGTCGTCTTATACGCCAGACAATACGGTAGTAACATCAAAGAAGCAAAGAGGGGGAAATGCATTTTGCAATCCATTAAAAGCCAGTGAAGAGCAGGAGATAATGGACTTCTGGGAGAGATAATTTCAGCCTTAGAATAACTGACCTGAAGTATGGTAAATAACCATTTAAACTCTAATATTAATCCTCACTTTCTGATTATGTGTATTAGTGGTTCGCAACCTTTGATCTTCCAGATGTTTTAGATTTAATGCCAAAAGCACCACCTAGCATGGCCAGCAGTTAGGGACACTGGGAACTGAAATAAAAAACATCTGGAGGGACCAAGGCCAATAATGCTTTCTTCACTCCTATGCAAATCTCCTCCACTCCAAGGAAGTCTTTCTCCACAATTAGGCTTAACTGATAACAATGTGTAATGTGTGTAAATTATATATTGAATGTGTGGTGCAAGGCACAGAATGTTGGATTAATAAAACCAATGAGGATTGGCATGGAAAGTTAATAAGAGTTTCAATCCTATATACACTGCGCAAAGAATAAGTCCCACTGAACTAGTCAGATTCACTTCAGAGTAAAACTGCATAGGACCAGGCAGCGAGGAAATCCTATACTTAACTTGAAAAGGAGCCAAAGGTTCTTAATAAGATTTCACTGTGTGTGTACATGCATGCACATTGTGTGTGTTTTGTATCAACTTTACAGAGGCTGAGCTGGGAGCTTCTTTGGGCTGGGTTTAAAACTAGGCGTAGTAGCTGGATGTCTTTCCCAACATTACTTGGAGAACTGTGCAGTGTACAACTTTCTATCATGCTAGCTTAACAGAGAACATGGATGAACAGCTATATACTTACTCTCTTTTCACTGATGTACTTACAATAGAAATGCAGTAAAGAACTCTGCTGAGGTTCTTAAAACTACTAACTATGGAGTATTAATAAATAGCTTTTACATTGAACTGGCACTGCAGAACTTCATTGGCAAAGGGCATACGTAGTTCTCTTCAAGTCATTTTAAAAGAGATTGTAACTGGGGGTCCATTTCCTAATTCAGATGGTTCATTAGTGGTAGCATCTTTGCTACCTACATTCCTAATGTTTGGACTGAGGTGAAAGTGATTTTTAAAAACCCAGGATATTTGGAGTTTCAAATACATTTTGCACACATTGTATCCTTGAATTAATCACTATATGTTCCAGTCTGAATTGCTGTTCTTGATTCACTGATTACATTGTATGTGTCTGTTTGTCTCCTTTGGATGTCCATTTGGACACACAAGTCTTAAAAATGCATTAGTTCTTTTTGTTACACAGCAATAAAATATTAAAGAAAATAAAATGGTAAAAACCAAGTTCCTTCCTATACGACCTCCCTTGAACTCAAAAGGTGTCACATGCCCATAATTCCTACATGCCACAAATGGAAAATAGTCCATCCGCTATAGAAGTCCCCTTTGAAAAGCAAACAGTATGATTTTCTTGTAGGCAGACGGCTGGCCAGAAAGCAAACCTTAAACCTCTTCTTGCTTTTCGGGAATCTTGATCATGTCAGAAAAGAGGCGGTCTTTGATTGAATCCAGATTGAGCTATTTCCTGTTAGCGTGCTAACTCAGCCCTCTGTGTCTTATTCCACAAGTCAGTGTTATTGAATGGTTGCTTGCCAAGTCTCTTTAAAAGACTTAAAGGCAGAGTATTTGAAATAATGCAAACAAAATGTAGACCTCAAATATTCCATTAAATGATTTCAGGCATGCTGTTGTTGTTGCTGATATGTGTTTCTTTTTTACACACACACACACACACACACACACACACACACACACACACACTGAGTAGCTGCTCCAGAGTTATTCAACTCCCTTCCCCTAGAGATCCCTGAAAGTCCAAGTGTAAATATTTTCTGGAAAAGCAGCAGCACAAGATTCCTGTTTGATCTGGTACTAAATGACCAGGCTTAAATAAGTGTGGAATCATCTCAATTTAATTGGTATTTTGTTGTATGGATGTATGGATGTCTTTATTTATAATTGTTCTTACTTGCCACCAATCCTTTGTAGAGGGGCAGGATAGAAAACAAACTAATGAATTAAAAAGGATATTGGATAAAATGCCTTTTGTACTTTCATCAAGTAAAACAAAATTCTGCTTTTTGTCTGTAGGAAGACAAAAAGATACTGGAGATTAGAGGGTTGGAAAGGGAGCCCAACCCTCACTGAGCTGTGTGAAACTCACTGAGTGTCCAGCCACTTTTCGTCTCAGTCTAAAATAGGGAGGAGGAAAGCCATGTATATTGGTTTGAGCTCATTGGAAGAAAGGCAGGATATAATTGTAAGTACTAAAGAAGGTAAATAAATCAGGTTGGTCTAAATGACTCACCATGCTGATGGTAGCCTACCAGCCACATATGACATCCTATCAAGGGTTAGTGATAACCCTGTGTTTTTTCTTGCTTGCAAAAACTGAGAGGGAGAAGGGAAGGAGAAAGGTGGGGAAACACTTGTGCTTCTGAACTCCTTGGAAGGCAATACAATACATAGTTATAGAACTGCTTTCAGCTTGGTAGATTCCACCTTGTGTAGCATGTTTTCTTATATAGATGTGAATTAAAATTGGTAGCTGAGTATAAAACTACTGTATTTATTTTCTATTCTGCTACCAATCTTTATTCGCATCTGTATTTTAAAAATATGAATGATCACGCAGCTGCAGCAATTTATTGTCCTGGTAGGAAATCTGTGAATGAAAACTTTCAATAGAATTGAGGGAAGCATCAAGAATTCATCCATACAGTTTTGCAGTTATTAGGTAGTGAGAGGAGGCTGTCTCACGCAGCTGATTTGGGGCAGCAAATTGCTAATTATTTAATTTTATTGTATTTTTATTGCCAGGGAAGGCCAGAGGTGTATTTACTTGATTGCTTTTTATCCACGTTTTCCTGAAACATTCTTAAAAACAGATACAAATAAGAACATAGCAAGTTATAATATTAAAACAAAATCAAACTGTTATAATATTAAAACATAATTGGCTTAGAATCACTTTAAAAAA